TCAAGAAATTATAGTGAATGGATAAAATGAAATAATTCAATTTATATTGTGTCAAATAGGAGCATACCTTCTTTACTCTTTGGTCCAGGTATAAAGAACATTGACTAATCCTATGCTTGGTTACTGATTCTGCTGCTAGGCTGGGAGGATACCGGCTCTCATTTCGGAGCTCCCACGTTCCCCTTACCTGAGGGCTAACATCTACACATCAACACCTAAATGATAGGACCGAATTGGGGATTTTAGTCTGTCACTCTAAAATCTCCAATTCTACGCCAGATAATATTATTTCTCTATTTATTTGCACTAAACTTCCAAGGGCTTTGACCTCCCTGAACCTTGAATGTAATATTCACCTTAGTTGTAAAACTCAACATATTTTAACAAATCAATTAGCCAGATTGAAAGTAAATTAAGATTGAAGTGAAAAGATCATCAAAGTGAAAAGATCATCACAATTTCTTAGACATTTTCATGGCTTCACCAATTCAAATCACCATTTCACAAATCTCGAGACAAGGAAAAAGACAGAGAAAACAACTCATATCTCATAGGGAAAACACAACAAAACTCAGAATTCATATAGAAAATCAAAGGCATACAAACTAGAAAAAGTAAATAATTTATCTCTAATTTCTCCCCAAGAACACTACTCGAAGTTCCTCTGAATCTCTTCCTTTCTTTACAGCACACATAATTCCTCTTTGAAACAGCAAGGAGGAAGAAATCTCTCACTTTCCCTCCACCCTTACAATCTCTCGAAGAATTCCTTAAAAATTACACTCTCTACACTTGGTTACACTTCAATTTTAAGTCTCCCCTCTTCCAGCTTCTTCCAATTTTTGGCAAAAATAGTCTTTTAAAGTTGTGGATGAGCTTTCCCAAGAGTTGTGTAAGCATCCCTTCAAAATTTTGCATTATCCAAAGCTTGAGTAGGCAGAACCACCGAGCTCGCCATCGGTAGAATTCTGGAGAATTTTATCCTGTAGCCTTGGGAAAAAATCGCCGTCGGCGGCATCGAGGGCGTCTCGGCGCCCTTAGTTCAAATCTCCAAATTTTGGTCCTTTTCGCTCCAAATTAGCTCATTTTTGCATCTTTTTGCTTCATTGATCATAATTCATCATTCCTGCAACAAAACATCAAAAATACCTTTCTTTAAAGTGCAATATCATTAAAAACAGTATAAAATAGGTATGAAAATCTCAACATATTTTCCTTTGGTCATCACCCAAGAGGTTCGTAGGTCTTATGTTGTGGGAAATACACGCGTGCAACCATTGAGGCTGTACATATAAATAGTGAAATTATTATGCCTGCTTTTAGTGAAAAAGTGTTGACGAGTATTTTTAAATAAAGACTTAGTGAGGAGGGGGCTTTAATTCTTATTTTAAGGATACATAAAAAGTATAAATTTATAGATTAAATGGGGGACTTACAATTAAGAACCCAATCCAAACCACAAAACCCATAAACATTCTATATAGCTATTAAAGGGAAGAGAATAAGTGCAAAAGGCTCGTGAGATGCTAAGTACCTAAAAATTTGGGATAATTGGCAATATATCAAAGTGGGGATTTAGGGAAGGGTGTTAGCATGGAGGGCAGAGTGAGGTTTTTAAGAGAGGAGTGGTCAAAGAAAGTGTAGGAGGCATCAAAAGAGTGTATATTAAGAATAAAGAGCAGGAGAGGTTGATCTAGAAGGGCAAGGGCAGGGGGAATAACGTCTATAGATGGAGGAAGATAGGTAGGAGAGTGCAAGGGAATTATGACATTTTGATATGGCAATAAAATATGAGATTTTCTACATGAATTGCTATAATTGTGACCATGAGTTCAGAGTGGTGGGATGGGTTCATTGGAGGGTTTGTAGGGCACAAGTATAGCAAATGTAAGGACCCACAACTGGAGCTAGTAATAGGCTTGTACTCATATTATAGTTAGTTGGCTTAACTATTGCCATTTTGAGAGGTTTAGATTTCTTTAGGAAGGGGAGAGTTAATTTGTACTTGGATGCGGACATTAATAAAGGTGAGGTTTGTCTTCTTAGTTGTAAGAGTGTCAAAAGCTCGACAAAGATTAATTTCACTAGTAATTTTTGTAATAATTGAAGGTTTATAATATCAAAGAGGAAGATTTTGGACCTTGAACCTTTCCATCGTGTTTGAAGTTAGGGGATGGTTTTTTTTAAGATGAAGGGTTTACCAAAAGATAATCATTGCTTTCCTTTTAGTGAAAAGGTATGATAAGCAAAAACCTTATTTAAAAGCATGAATTGTAAATTACCTTTTGAGGGCCTAAGCATTTCTTGATGATATTTAGCAAATTCTACAATAGGACTTTTGTTTATCAAGCAAGTATTCAATCAGAGAGAGTTTCCATTATTTGGAGCCTTTATCGAGGTCTTTCTATGAAATTTCACTAACTCTTATGACAATAAACCAAGTTGAGTTCAAAGACTTTAGTAGTTGGGATTAGAGAGGTGAGAGCCTCCTTCTAGCTAAGGTTAGCAAAGATGAAAAGGAAGCATTATTGGATGGTAAGGTGAAGCTTAACTTTGAGGTAACATGAGATATTGGTGGAAAATCTATCATCTTAAGAGATGAAGGTGAAGAAGCCCATAAAAGCGAGGCTAAGGGCTGGTTACGAGGCTACTAGTGAATATATACTTGTGCGAAGAGGAGGATTCCACTTCATTGAATGTGTTTTCCAAGGAAGAGGGGTGGGTGGTAATTTATAGGAACAAGTTTGGAAGACATTCATTCATAGCTGGAGAAGAGGGTGAAGAAGCTAGCTGTAATATTTATGGTTGGATGAAACCTTAGTTTGGGACAAAACCATCATTTATGTAGCATTTTTACTTATTTTATTTTTTATAGATACATTTGTAGATTTATTTCGATAATTTTTTGTTGAAGTTAATATGTGTAATTTAGATGAAGATATGTAGATGAAGATATTTAAATGATTTTTGTCATTCTTTGTGTATCATCGCCCTTAATGCCTAACACTCTTTAATCATTATGATCAATCTTTTTGAACTCCTGATCTTCCATTTTACTAAAAGATTGACTTAACAGACTACCGACTATTGTGTGACTTTCGATGTTCCTCACTTTCATTATTTGATTCCCACCAGCGTATAGTTTATATAAGGATGTCAATAAAGTTATTTGTAAATAGCTTAAGTTTGTCCACTAGCAAGTTTGTATTTGATTCATTCAATTTGAGTTTTTTTTTTCAATGAAGCAAACACCAATAAAAGCTTGTTCAATTATTTCATATTTTGTTATTTATTTATTTATTTCCAATTATTCAAACTCTCCTTCTATTGGTTTGAATTTGACTTATACTTGGCTTGAATTTGAACGAGCTAAACAAAAACATGCTTTTTCATGAATCATGAATGATGTAAAAAATAAGATAAATAGAGACACCAAAACAATGAAATTAGTCTAATGCCAAGACACAACAAGTTTGCCTGAGCTAGGCTCATTTATGCCCCTATGTGTCTATAAGCCACAAATGCTTGAAAACCCTTTTATTAGTCACATAATCTCCTTCACCATCAAGAAAACAACAAGATTGATTTCCTACAGTACATCTTAAGACACTTCTTCAACTACACGAGACATTTTTCATAGTTAATATCTATTACATTATTGTATTATCCATTCACAAGTCATAAGAAAGCACATTCTTTAGTACTTTTGATTAACATTATGGAAATATTATCAACTTTGCAATACTCTAACTTCTTATGATTTGCATAAATCTATTCAAATACATAGATATTATCATACTAAGTTGACTTTTAATTAGGCAAATTAATTAAACGGTTAAATTAGTTCTTATGAATTCAAATACCTTTATTTTTCCTTCAAATTGATCAAATACAACATGCTTACAACATATTAAAAATTACACATATATCATCAAAATTAAAACAATAAAAAAATCAAAATTTCTTATATTTACACTTACTTTGACTAACTCATTTATTGCTAAAGGAAATAAAAAAGGAAGATTTACATGCATAGCACATACTTTCTATGCATTTACATTCTAACACCTAAACTTTAATTATTTACATATAGGTGTATTTCACTTTTTTAAATTAAAATAACAATTTATTTAATGTCATATGCAAATAACTCTTTCGAGCGTTATGAATGAAGTGTGTGAAACCCTCCAATTCCGAAGTTGACTAATAAATTTCTTCTTAATGAGCGCAAAGCGGTTTTCCCTTTTCTCGCCGTTAGACTTCAGGGGGATTTTGGCTGCCGTTGCACGCACTACCTCCGTCTCTCCGTTGAATTCCCATCTCTTTACTTTCATTCCTGCAAATCCAGCGAGAAAAGGGCTTCTGGTGGAATACAGAAGGCAGAGCAGCGAGTAACAAGAGGAAGAGGGAGGAGGCATGGGCCGGAGCAAGTTCATCTTGGGGTTGCTCACTTTGGTCACCATAGGAATGATCATCGGTTAGGTCTTCCGTCTAGTTTAGATTTCTTTCTTCTTTTTGCAAAATTAGATCATAGGTTTTGCAGAGGAGAACGAGAACATGTCATCTAATCCTGCTGTGTAGTCTTTCTTGCAGCGTTGTTGTGTTCTATTAATTAGATTCTTTGAATTTGCTCTGTTTGTGTTTAAATTGATCGGTTTTTTGAAATCCAGAATTCTTCCGCTGTGTAAATGCATTCGGGGTATTATGAATAGAAGTTGTACTGTGATTGTTTGCTTTTTAGTACTGTGTTGGGTGGAGGAGAGTAGTAGATATTAGGGGATGGACTTGATTTGGTAGAGTGGCATGTGTATTGATGCATTTTTGTATGGTTTTCTTGGAATTTTCTGTTGTAATTTGGAACTGGTTGGTGATTAGTGAATGATGCTATGGTTATGATGAATATGTTTATTTATGGTTTTGTTAAGCCCATGCCACCAATTAAGAAATCATGCAATTTGGCTTGTTGTTCTACATTTGTCTTATTTATGTAAGGGGTTAGAGCTCATCATTGTTTCCTATGCTGCTATGCTGTAACTTAGGAAGTTAGACTGAGAGGTGAGGATCAAAATCTGAAACAATGTGATTTATAGGAATGATTTTCAGGTATTTTGTTTTGTAAAGACCTAACTTACCACAGTCTTGGATTATTCGGTTATGCGGGAAATGTGTGAAGTACATTGTATGGCTGACAACCATTCTAAACACACGCATAGCTGTTTGTCCTTATTTGTGAGTGCCATGAAGATGCTATTTTGTACAAAACAACGTATCACAATAACATGTTTACAAAATGAAGCAAAAAAATTGACAAAATGAAGACGCGGACTGCTTTTATATATGCATGGCTTGCAGTCTAACCATAGAATATTATAAGAAGGTTATGTGAGAGTATTAGCATAGTTGAAATTATACACATAAAATGAAGCTGCACTTGAAATGTTATTTTGTTTCGGTGTTGTAAATCGATCTCCTATCTTTTAATATGCAAGAAATGATTACACCAACAAAAATCTTCTGTAATAGAGACTTGAATGTAAAAAATAGTAAGATTATAAAAAATAAGGAATTCATCAAACAAGGTCAGCTATCACATTGAAAATGGTTGGATTTGAATGATGCGAACATCTTCTTTTTGAAAGTTATAGTGAAATAAAGTCATATCATTTCTATGGGACAAAAGGAAAATAGTTTTAAAGCAAGTGCTTGTATGGTTTCACTAGATATTTTGGTTTAGGTGTTATTACTGTTAAACCTAAACATAACCTTATGGGTTTGGGTGATATGTATATTTTATCTATTCATTCTTTCCTTAGGATTTTCATTAGCTTAACCTCAAGTATTTGTGGTAACATTTTATGAATCAGCTTTCATTAAGTATTGTTGAGCACTCTATGAGGTGCTTACTTTATTTGTGCTTTTTTTTTCTGCATAATTCCTGGCATTCTTTTCTTCGGCAATCTTTTTTTTCCTTTTGAATCCATTTATGTTAAATCATGGCTACTTGCCTTGTTATTGCATGCTATGTTTTGTTCTATATTCTCAAATCATCAATGTCTAATATTTAAATAGTTTATTTTTAATAAGTGCTGCTCTTAAACATCTTCTAATATCTCTCTCCATACTTTTTATTTTTCTTACAAGCCCATCCTATCATTTATATTTATGTTATGCTCAACTTAGTTTTCAATAAGTTGTTCGCTATCCAACACTCAGGTACACTAGCATGTTTAATCTATTTGTAAATTTTTAAATACATCCGAAACTTGATTTAAAATTGTATAATATGTGACTCGCCTCAACGCTTTTTTTAAAAAATTGCAATGAGATTTACACCTCATTGGCTACTACATGTGACTTTTGTATCACAATATGAGGCCCCAATCTAAAACCTCTTAGGTGACTTTTTTGTTTGGATTTAATTCTTTTGGAGATTGTTTTTTTCTTGGAATTTTTTTTGGGGCATTATATTCTTCATTTTTTTCAAGTGATGTGTCTGTAACTTGATTAGGAACAATAGAGGATTCTTCTGGACATTCGTTCTTCATTGATATGGTCCTGAAAATGTGTTTCCTCTCAGCTGTCTCCTTTAATCTTTTGATTTACTCATCTCTTATGACTTTCAAATTCTCTTATTGATCTTTCAAGAACATCTAGGAATTTTAGATCAGTGTCACCTATGCATTTGTTTCTCCACTCTCTTATCCTTTACATAAATTGTTGGAATTTTGAAATATTGTTCGAAGCTTGCATAATTTATTTCATGTTTAAATGAACTAAAAAAAGAGTTTTTATTTTTTACAAGCTTCAAATCTTCAATATGAAAGAAAACAATATTGTGATACCGAGGTTTTACCAAACACGAAGGGAAAAATAAATATTATTCCTTATTCCAAATAGGTAATTATAATAAAACACAACACAAAATTGAAATTGTAATAAAACACGACACACAACACTAGAGTTGGGTGGATTCTGGGTGGAGGAGTGGAGTGTAGGTGGTTCAGAAGGTGGTGGCAAGTGGGGAGGGGAGAGAAAACAACAAGTGGCAGTTCTGGATGCGTGGCAACAAGTATGGAATGGATTAGGTGACGGATCAATACAACTCTAGGCAACTGTATTAGGGTGATGGCAAAACTGGAAGGGGAAGAAGTTGACTGAGATGGATGGAAGGTACGTTGGAGCATGGTGGTTGCTGCAGACAGTGGTTTTGGTTAGCTATAATTTATTTCATGTTTAAATGAACAAGGTTAGAGAGAAATTATAAATATTATTGCTGACTTCAAATCAGAAATTATAACAAAATACGACAAAAGTTGAAACAACTTTTAAAACAGTAATTAATCACAACACACAACACTAGACTCGGGTGGAGAGGTGGAGTGTAGGTGTTTCGGAAGGTGCTGTCAAGTGGGGAGGGGGGAGAACACAATAGGTGGCATTCTAGATGTAGCATCAAGTATGGAGTAGAGTAAGTGACGAATTAATACAATACCAGGCGACTGTATTAGTGCGAAAACAAGACTGGAAGGGCAAGAAGGTGGCTAAGATGGTTGGAAGATACGTTGGATGATAGAGGTTGTGGTAGATAGTGGTTTTGGGCAGCTGTTCTGGAGCGACAACAAGGTTAGAGAGAAGAAAGGTATAGGGAGGTGATACCCGAGCTAACTCAAACAACAATAGGAAAGCAAATATTATTAATGAAAAATAACCTGATTATTACGATCTAACACACTTAAAAGAAAAAAAAAATAACAACAGAAATGAAAGAACGCAACTACAGTGTATCCCAAAGGTGGTGGTCGGTGAGATGGGTGGAAGCTGGGAGGCGGGGCTGCTGTGGGATGGCGGCCAGCTGAGAGAGATTACTGAAGGGAGTGGCAGGGATGTGTTTGGCTGGCTTGTAGAAGGGAAGGTAAGATGGGGATGCAGGAAGAATTAGGGCATGTTAGGCTATAGATGCAAGTAAAATGGGGTGCTGAGGGGGTGTGGGAACAACAGTCAATGGGAAGAGGGATTCTGGTGGCTGGACAGTGGTAAGACGGCTAGTAGATGGTTGCTGGAAGGGTAGAGGAGGCAGGGTGACAAGGGGTGACTGGCATGGAAACATTCATAGGGCTATTTCTGGGTGTTCTACAACAAGTATGGCGATTGTGATAGCGGAGGGGAGTTTGTAGAGAATGGAAAAAATGAGGATAATCATCACCTGGAACAAGATACAGTTGGAACACCACTCGCCCTTAGATACAGTCCTAGAAGGGAAAACCTTGAGTAGAAAACACAATGAAAGTTTGACTTAATACACGAAAAAGCAACATATATAATACTAGGGTAACTAAAGAGTGACCCCGTAGGGTGGAAGGTTAGATGAAGGGTAAACACCACATCGAGAACGAAATAAACTCAAAGCACCATTTAGACCCTTAGATACAACCTTAGAAGGGAAAAGGGAGATGCTGACGGCTGTCCCAAAACAAGCACAACAAAACCTAAACTTAAAACGTCACAAATGCAAATATATAATACTAGGATGACTAAGAGTGGGCCCACACCTTTAGGGGACACTTTCTAGAGCTAAGGGGGCCGCTTACCCCTCCCAAATCTTGAACCAAATTGGTTCAGCATTTCCCCAAGCACCCGGTGTGAGTCTTTCGAGATTGGGGGAGCTTCAACCTCATTTGTCGAAGCTTCAACCTCATTTGTCGAAGCTTCTATATCTTCATACTATGAAGCCAGGTTGATCACGTTGAAAGTGATGTGAATGTTATAATCTCCCGGGTTGGAGGGTCTTCAATTGCGCCTCTAGGCGCATCTAGATCCCGCCTTTTGATGCAATATCCGCCAAATTGCCTGAGAAGGGTTCCCAAATTGCAAGTAACAAACTCTGCTTGTCCAACCAGTTGTGGGTACGTTGTTGAACCGAACTGGAATTTCACCTCAAGTGCAATCTGCAAAATCCTCCAATTGTAGCCCAAGTTTAGCTCATTCCTCTCTGAAGTGAAGACAGATTGAATCTCCCCTAATGGTGATTGCCTTGGTGGTAAGTCGTCGATCAATATATTTTGAAACTCTTTTCGTAGTGGTTGCTTTGTGCTTGATATTGGCTCTTCTGTCTCACTACCCTCTAATATCACTAAAATTGATCCCATTAGCGCCTCTTCGTTGGCAAGAACACCTAGAATTTTGGACTCAGTTGAAGTTAGGATAACTATGCGCTTTCCATCCTTGGTAAATGAGTCGGTGTTCTCAAACCAATCATGTTGTGCAATCAAACTGTCATGGTTTTCCCAATAGCATGTGACAAACATCCATGGGCACAACATCACACCACATCAGATATTGCAATCGGTCTCCAATAGAAAGCTTTATAGTGCATCTCTTGCCAATGCTAACCCCATTCTCTTTTTTCAACCAAGTCAGGAATTATGATCCTGAATGTCTTTTAGTAGTGAGGCTCAACTTTTCCACCATCTATGTAGAGGTCATATTCTTACTACCACCTCCATTTATGATAAGGCTGCAAATCTTTCCCTTCGCGGTATAATGAGTATAATAGATGTAGTGGCGAAGCCACCACTGCTCACTTGTAGCCTTAACATGAAGGACCCTTTGAATCACAAGCATCTCACACATCAAATGGAGCTGATATTGTCACCCATCCTCATTATCTTTTGTCTATAACACCACTGTCAACTTATTTTACTGCTCCCTGCTCAGTGAAAGATACAACTCTGATAGTAGGGCAACTGGAGGTTATGCATCCAAACCCATGACATCCGAAATACTTATTTGCGGGCACTATTCTGGGTGTACTATTTTTCTCGGGCTTCTTCTCACTCCAGTTAACTCTGTCATCTTTCTGGATAGTTTTCACACATTTTTAAGGTGTACTTCTTCTGGCTCCTATTGTGGGCGACCGTCTGAATGAAGGCCGGGTTCTGATCTACTTCTATTGTTTCTTCACCTTCAGTTTCAAGGTTCGAACACCACTCAATGACTGATATGATTGTAGCGGGACAACATTGCTGATGGTTGACTTTAGGCCTCCCAAATATCTGGCGATAGTGTACTCTGGCTTTGACAGCTCACATTTAAGTATGAACTGCTCAAACTCTGCTATGATTTCCTCCACTGACAATTCTCTCTGCTGAAGGTGATGGAGCTTCAAGAACATGTCCTAGCGGTAGTGCGATGGTAGATACTTTTTCTGCATCTTCTTATTCATCTTCTCCCAAGTGGCGATCTTGATCCGAATTTCTCTCTCTCTTCAGATTTTCCCACAAAGATACATTCTTCTCCAGATTTATGGCAACAAACTTCACTCTCCTATCGGCCGACATCTCATTGTACTAAAAAATTTTCTTAGCGGTTTGTAACCACTCAATGAAATCATTTAGATTCATTTTTCCTCGAATTCTAGTAAGTCTAACTTCACTTTTAGGTCTCCCTGTTCTCCAAAACTTACTCCATCCCTCAATCTCTTATGACATTGAATCTTGAATCGTCATGGCCTATCATCCCCTTCACTGGAATCATCTCTATGGGAGGGGTTCGGATTTTCCTCCCTCTCTCCTCTTCGAATCTCCCAATCACAATGGATGGTGATCTCTCAATGGATCCTTTTCTCAATTTCAGCAAGCCTTTGTTGAATTCACCAGATTTTCCGCTGCATTTCTTCCATGGTAAGTTCCTACAAGGCTTACGACACTTGTCTCTCCTCTATGATATAGCTAGGGTTTAGGGTTGGCAAGTGAAATGGGTGTATGAAGCCGATTTGGGGTGGGAAAAAAAGTTTGGGTTGTTGATTTGAAAAATCAACAAGGGGGAATAATTTTTGGGTTGAGTTTGGGTTAGGTATTGTGGATTTTGGTAACCGTAGGATATGACTAGGATTATACTCGATATAATACCAAATGATACCGACCTTTAACCAAACACTAAGAGAAAGATAAATATTATTACTGACTTCAAATAAAAAATTACAACAAAACATAATGAAAATATGAAATTGTAACAAACATGACACAACACTAGACTTAGTTGGATTCCAAGTGGTGGGGTGTAGACTAGGTGGTTCGGAAGGTGGTGCCAAGTGGGGAGGGGGGAGAACACAGCAGGCGGCTATTCTGGATGGGCGACAACAAGTATGAAAGGGAGCAGGTGATGAAATACAACACTAGATGGTTGTATTAGGGCAACAACAATGCTGGAAAATGAAGCAAGTGGTAGGGAAGGCTGGAAGGTCAGTTGAAGGATAGCAGTTGCAACAAACAGTGGTTTGGGGCGGTTGTTTTGGCGCGACAATAAGATTGGAAAGAAGAAAGGTGCAGAGAGATGATGTAGGGACGGATGGGGAAGGTTAGAGGAAGGATAAACACCAAATCGGGATTGAAATACAACTAGAGCAACTCGAACCCTTGGATACAACCCTAAAAGGGAAATGCTGACGACGGTCTTGAAACAAACAAAGCAAAACCTAACCCTAAAAATCACAAAAACAAATATATATAGCATTGCAGGTCTCACCATCATCTTATAAAATTTTCCTTTAAGTTTAAGCGGTGTTTTTCTATCACACAATAGGCCCATGCATTCCTCCACTTTAACTAGCTAACTTGAATTCTACAAATAACATCCCCATCTATAATGTCATCAATTTTAACAATAGACCCGAGATATCTAAAATGCTCACACCTTTTAATGATTTGATCACCCATAGTTACAACTGAGCTGCTACTAAAATTACATTCCATGTATTTAGTTTTATATTTACTCCAACGAAGGCTTTTAGACTCCAATGTAAACCTCCATAATTCAAGTTTTTCTGAACTCTTTCTCTAGACTAATCTACAAGAAGGATATCTTCAACGAAAAGCATACACCAATGTACACCCTCCTGTAAATGTCCAGTAAGAGTATCCATAGCTAAAGCAAAAAATATATGGGCTTAAAGCCGATCCCTATGCTATAATTGAAATAGGAAAATACTTGGTCAATCCTCCTTCTAATCAAACATAAATAACAACTCTATTGTACATATCTGTAATGACTTGAATATAAGTCATATCAACACCTTTCTTCTGTAGAACACTCTAAAGGACTTCTCTTGAAACGTTATCATAAGTTTTTTCAAAATCAATAAAAATCATATATAGTTCTCCTTTCTCTGTAGTTCTCTATCAAACCTCCTAATAAATGTATAGCTTTCATAGTAAACCCACCCGACATAAATCCAAACTGATTATGAAAAATCTTTGTATTACATCTTATGCTATGTTCAATTACTCACACATCAACTTAATTCATTTATAATCTGCAGTCTTGTGCATCCCCTTTATTTTTAAAAATGAGTGCCAAAATACTCTTCCTCCACTCATACAAATTATTAGCTTTTAAAATAATATTAAAGAGTTTAGTAAGCCTAGAAACTGTCAAATCTCCTGAATATTTCGACACTTCAATTAGTACATCATCAGGTGCTACTAATTTTCCACCCTTGATTTTCTTAAAAATCTCATCGACTTCTTTTTTTTTACTAATATAACAGCAAAAATACAATGTTTTATTATTATTAACGGTATTAAGATCACTTAATCGTATTTTCAAAAACTTCATTGACATGTTTATCAAAATAACTCACACACATTTTTTGAATATCTTCCTCTAAGAAAAGTACATTTTGATTTTTATCTTTAATGCACTTTACTTAAATTAAATTTTTACTTTTATTTTCTCTTTATTTGACTAGTTTATACAAATATTTTTCACCCTCTTTAGTATATTATAAATATCACTAAAGTAGAACTTTTAGCTTCACAAATTGTTATCTTAGATTCTCTAAGAGACACTTTATATTTTTCCCAGTTTTCTAAGCTTTTACATTTAAACAAATGTTCATAACACAACTTCTTATAATTTATCATTTTTTGCACATTATTATTTCATCACCACTATTTTATTTATAATTTTTTTTCTTCTTTTGAATCTCCAAGTATATCTTTTGTTACTTGTTTAATAATATTTATTACTTTATCCCACATAGAGTTCGCTTATTCATGAGCATCCCAAATTTTGAAATCCTAAAGTTTACTTATAAAAAAAATTTTATTTGTGAATTTTAGGCGCCCCCATATAATTCTAAGACAATATTTCATTGTATTATTTATCTTACAACTCCTCATGTTCAAATCCATAACTAATAATTGATATTGAGTACTTAAACTTTTACTTGGAATGACCTTATTATCTTTACATTCTCGACGTTCTCTTTTTTTCATAAGAGAATAGTTAATGTGTTTTATTAATTTCAGTCATATAACTAATAATATGTTCATATCTTTTCTTAAATAAACTATTAGCAATAACAAAATCATACACTAAAACAAAGTATAATGTGGTTCTACCTTTTTCATTAATTACTAATTATAACAGGAAAATGTACAGTTCGTTTTTACTATTTTTTTATGCATTGTATGCTGTAGGTAATTCTATATATGGATGGCATGCCTATAGCACTTTGAGAATTAAGAAAAATGACTTTAGTAGATGTGGAGCTATCTGTTAACAAGGCCCGTTCCATGAAATTCTTCTTTCAGATGTACCTATTTTCTTGTTGCTATTAGTTATGTTGAACTCTTTTTATCAACCTATACTTCATCCAGATTAGATGTCTTGTTGATATTTCATTGCGTTTTAAAATTTCCATTGATTAGCTGCTGTGCTTCTGCATGATGTTAATGGTGAGTAGTAGACTAGTAGTGTCACCAGCATGTCTGAGTGCTGAAGTGTGTTATTTCAAATATTAACCATATATACATATCGCAACAACTTTTTATGCTTAGTGGCGAACCTTTTATTTTCAGAATAGTTTTCATTGTTCTATTAACCATTTTAGAAATTGTTTTTTGTTTGCATTGTTTTGGGATATATAATCCTACTTCATGTTTCATTGATCAACCTTTTATACTTCACATCTATCTTAAAATATAAAAAATTTAGGCTAAGAAGTTGATATCTACTGCTTGCAGGTTCTTTATTTCAGCTAGAATTTATCCACAGATTGGAGGTGCCTTCTGGTATGAGCTCATTTCCTCCCTATGGTGGCCGTGTTATTTTTTTTAGAGCTATTTTATCTCTTTATTTTAATTACTGGTAAATTTGAGCATCTATCATGCGTGTAGTATAATTCTTCTGATAGTTCAAATCCCAAAATTGTCTCCCGTCAATTCATTTGTGACCAATTTAGCAAAAAAAAAAATATATTTCAATTTAATTTCTTAAGTTTATAAAATTAATCAAAAATGATCTCTCATTTAGAAGTTATGATACAAAGTTGATCTTATTTTAATCGATCATACAAATCAATTCCAGATTCCAGTTTAGTTCTAGTGTGACCATTTTGGATCAATTTAGATAATCAAGGGACTAAATTGGCGATATGTGATAGTCTGAGACTAAATTAACGACATATGAATAGTCAAAAGACTATTTTGAACTTAAACCCTTATTGTTAATTTTCTTTTTTAGATTGTAAATCAGTATATATTAATTTATATTTCAAAAATGTCAAAATGTTATTTTTTACTTGATTTATTATCAACATGTTCCATAGGCTTTTTCCTGCTCGATAAACTGAGATGATGTAAACAAAAAAAGGGTGGATGCTAACCTCTATCGAAATGAATATGTTTATGTAATTAGAGTATTTACATTCTGTACAGCGAAATGTTATTGTTCTTCTTGCCATGCTAGTCATCCTAACTCATTATCAGCATAAATGATGATCTACTTTGCGTTGAATTCAGCTTTTTAGTGCATCAATAATAACATAGCAAGATGTTTCTTATGAGGATTTTTTATTGTTTTTGATCTATAGCAGATAGCTACATTTAGGTAATTAAGTTATTGCTAGTATAACACATGCATTTTGAGATTTGTTAGAACAATTAAGTTAATTCATTATCATATAAAAATTAATAAATAGCGTCAAATGTTTCTAATAATAATCTAAATTTCATATTAAAAAAGGACATGTATAGTTTCTCATGTGAATTGATGCAATCTAGTAGTTACCAGTAGATTGTAAAATGCAAATACTTGGGGCACAGAGCTCCTGCCAATGTAAGATCTGGGGAGGGGTTGATGTATACATCTTTTCCTTGCATTTGTAGAAGGTTATGTTAATGAATTGAACTTGGAAAACCCATCCTACATCAGAGGCAATTTAAACACCACTTCAAGCCCACATTCAGTTACCATCACACTGATGTTGCCATCCGGTTTGCATTGAGAAAGGTTGTCATCAGCACCACCTCTTATATTATAGACTTTCATAGTTGAGCATAATCTTGCATACTTTCTCTCTTGAGTAGACTTATGATCTGACCTTTTGAATGACTAGCGGGTAGGAATGTTTAGGTTGAGTCAACCTTTAAGTGTCTTGAGTTCAATAGGAACTAATTGTTGCAGTTGCGCGAATAACACCACAGACGTGCAAATAATGCCGCAGGTGCACCTATGATGTTTGGGGCGCGGTTTAGAGGGAGCCACGGCCTTCTCCTATGATGTCCTTCCTTCTGGAATGAAAGGGCTTCTCCCGTGATGTCCTTCGTTTGGACCCAACCGATTCAGACCTGGGAGGGCCGATCGGCTCTCCTATGAGGGATTGGCACCTTCTTTCCATAGGGGATCTAATTCTAGTTATTTCAGTGGTAGCCATCTAGGATGTAAACTATTAATCAAGATATCTTACAAGTTGTACAACAAGGGCTGTTTTTTATTTTTTCGGATATCGGCTCCTCATGCTCATTACCTTATAGGATAACCAATGCTAGTCTTGTTGGAATGGGCTCAGCTTGAATCACTAGCGTCTCCTCTTGTCGATTGTCAGCTATTACTCCTCTTCGACATCTTCATCCTCTCCTATATCACTGAACATTTCTTCAACTGCTTCTTGTTCAGTGAAAGATATCATTTTATTGTATGGGCAATTTGATGTAATGTGCTTAAACTCGTGGCAATTGAAACACTTCTTGGCTGGGACAGATTTGAGAGTGTTGGTGGGATTTTCATTTTCTCACTCTAGACCAATTTCTACACTAGCGCAGGGTTGACTTGGATGCTTTATTGGGTTTACTTTTTTTGCTTGATCTTGGGGTTGAAGTTTACATGTAAGGTATGGTGGTCACCTATGACATTATTGTTCCACATTCAAAGCTAGGGTATGTACATCGAGTGGGGACCAATACGGATGCAACTGCATCAAATTACTAAGACTACCTCAATCCTCTAAGATACCTTGCTACTATATGCTTGTCTAGTTCCACCAACTCATATTTCAATATAAGCTAATCAAATTCAATTGTGTACTCCACTCCAGACTCTCTGACTCGGTGGTGAAGTTTTATGAACATATATTGTCGGTAATGCAGGGGAAGGTATTTGCGTTGCGTATTATTTTTCATCTTAGACCAGGCGGTGATCTTATTTTTCTCTTTACACTAGGGAAGTCGCTTCAGGTTCTCCCGTCCTAATGAAGAGTTCTTTCTGGGCTTGATGGTTGCTAATTTAACTCTCGTTCCAGGGAATGTTTTTGTACTCAGATACTCAATAAATTAGTTCAGATTCATGTGATTGCCAAAATTTGGTTAATCTACCTTTACTCTAAGATCTTGGCTTCTCCCTTATTCCATATCAAATCGTCAAGGTATTGGTTCTTCCTCATTGGAAACTATCTGGTCAAAGGGATTTACTTCCTCAGCTAGATCTGGCGAGTCAACATTATGGTTATGGGTGACTTCTCTGGGCTGTCTTCTCTCAAAGATGACAAACATTTGTTTCAATTAAAGGATTATTCATTGCATATCCTCCATTGTAAGCTTCTGGACACATCTTTGTAGATTTTTCATAAGTGAGATTGTTTTTTTTCTCTCGATCAAGTTTTCGATAGGTGTATGGTTATTAGATAAAAAGTTTGTTGAAGTTTAGGATTATGGTAGTAGGTGTTGGGGCAGATTTTTGGTGAAGGTAGAAATGTTAGATTTTGAAAATTTAGGGTTAGGGTTACAAATTGCGGTGAGAATGATGGAGATTTTTTTTTTTTTATATTTTGGATTTGGGGCAGAAAAGATAAATTCCTAAAAATTTTGTGTTTGTTGGGCCTTGATATCAGTTAATACCGTTCTAGGGATCTTAGAAGGTGTTTACGAAGTAGATTTGTGGGGAGACACTTTTGGAATGGTACAAGAAGAAGAATAGGGGTCGTCGATGGCATTTAGATGGGGAGAGGAGATAAAACCTGTTGATGGACAGCATGTTGGAGGAGTTTGGCTGCTGACCGGACTGAAAAAAATGACCGAACGATGAAACGGTGACGGAAACCCACGCCTGGTTCCTGAGCAAGATACAAATACACCACTTGCAAAATGAATGATACAACACTCCGAACAATATAAAACAAAGAAAAGTTTCTCAAATTCATAAAGTCAACAAAACTAAAATACAATCAGCTGCCATACAATACATTTAAGTCTTCTAATATGAAATGAGTTAATTATAAAATAGGAAATCTGTAATAACAAAAAAAGAATAAAAATATGTGGAATTAATCCTGGCTTGCGGACTGTTTGCTGCGATCCCGTGCAGTCCCGCGATCCTTTTGATCGCTGTCACGTGGCTTGAACGCCCGCATCAGAACTTGAAATGAGGGAATGCTTATGTATTTAGCTTAACGTCTGTTAATACATATATAATTTGCTACAGAATCGCTGCTCTTTGTTTTCATCACTTCCACTCCATGCCCGCTTAGTGGGAAAAAAAGAGAGTTGACTACAGTGCATTAGTTCTGCTACAGTTGTTCTGAATTTTAAGTAGTGATATTAAATTTAGGGGCTCCCTGGCGATGGATTTAACCCATGATTTAAGCAGAATGCTGCCAGACAATCATTTTGGATAAAATAAATCCTTGGATGCCGTAAATCCGGATTCCTCAGATTTCGGCTGTAAATCCCGTAAATCTTAAATTCTAAGAATTGGTAGATTAAATTCATGGGGCTTGGGATTTAACTTCGCGGGCTTTCGACTGTCTCCAATAGCCATATCGACTTCTTCAATCCTTGCAGAAATTGCCAGCAGTTCTATTGGATTTACAAGATTTAGTAAATTCTTTGACAAATTTTCAAATTTAACCCATTCAAGATTTAGTAACTCTAGATTTACTGGATTTACTAAATCCTAACACCTTAAATCTCATATGTTGCTAGACAACACCTTAATTTCAGGATTACTAACTAAATTATTAACATATTTTATGAAAGATAAAATATTTAGCTTTATATGTTATTAAATTTAAGACGACATTTCTTAAACAAGACATTTATTTGATTGAAATTTTTGTTAACAAATGATGATTATTTAATGTTTTTACTTCATTATTGCTTGCAGGTGTTTCTCATTGGGAGAATGACAAAGAAGCAGCTACACTTCGACTTGGATTTGTATATTTCAAATTTTTTATCTACAGGCTGTTCATTACGTTTCATGTCTTTTATTTCCGCTGCCTATTTTTTGAAGGCACGTTTTACTTTTCTGAATAGTGCTACCAGATTAAACTTTTTCTCCTTTCAAATAAAGTTAAGATGATCAAACTTTATTTACTGTCTTCTTCTTGTATTCAATCAATGGCTCGCTTTTCTACTACATTTTTTTTTATTTGTTATGACACAATGGAATCGAGTTGGAAAGTGGGTTGTGGTTATGAAGAGCTAGCACTATCAAACAAATTAAATATGGCATCGAAAGGAAATAAAGATGGTATGCCATCACACTTTGTTCTTTAGTATTGAATTTTCATTTTCACTGAAAGTTATATTTTTTATGTAACTTGATGTAGATATATTGACGCGCAAGCGGTCCAGTTGCTCTCGACATGAGAGTTTCAGGAAAAAAGTCGTGGCCCAGCTAACGCTCCTTGACCAAATCGGTCCAAGTTGTGTCCCTGTTGTGGAGTTGGTCTGTCATCTTGAGCCACTCTTCGTTATCCTATTATCATATATTTATTTATGGAGGAGACTAGGGTTAGTTTTTCATGAGTTTTTTATCAGGGCAACCATCGACGTTCAGATTTCCTCTTCTAGGGTTGTATTTGAAGGCGAGAAGGTGTTCCGACTGTAACTCATCATAAGGTGATATTTATCCATCGTTGCCTGTTTCCCACAGCCCCTCCTCCGTTGTTGCAGTCATAGTGGTTGCCACCGATACCCGGAAATAGCTTCTTTGTTGTTTTTTTTGCAGCCGACCATTGCTCCTAAACCCCTCCATCTCTCTGCCAGCCCTTCCAACCATCTTCAGCTTGTTGTCGGCCCCTCCCGCCACCAACCTACTTGCTGCCACCCCTTCCAACCACTTCGAACCTATTGTTGCCCTCTTCCAGCCATCTCCAGCTTGTTGTCGGCCCCTCAACCCACCTACCTACTTGTTGTCGTCCGCTTCCAGCCACCTCCAACCAGCTATCACCTTCCCCTCCGGCCACCTACCAACCTGTGCCGCCCTCTTCCAGCCGCCTCCAACCCGTTGCCGCCCTCTTCCAGCCGCCTTCAACCCGTTGCCGCCCTCTTCTAGCCACCTCCAATTTGTTGCCGCCTCTTACAACCACCTCGCCACCTCCAATTTGTTGCCGCCTCTTACAACCACCTCCAACTTGTTGCCACCTCTTACAACCACCTCCCACTTACTACCATAGTCTTCTTGCTGGCTCCACCTCCCCAAAGACCTCGCTGTTGTTCGCCACCCAACCCCGCTTTAGTTATTATCTCTTCGTAAACTGCAACACCACCGCTTTCGACACAAACCTAGTTGAGTTTGTGCTGAGTATTTATTATTTCCTAGTTCCAAGTGTCTATGATAATAACCTCTATTTTCTTTCAATAATAATGTTTGCTTTCCCTATTGGGTCTAACTCTGGTATCATGTGGTATCAGAGCTAGCTTAAACCTAGTCCCATCCTAGGGTTTCTAGCATCTCCCATATCATCCACGACCCCCATCACTACCCCTACCTGCACCCAAAACAACTTCCACCCTACCTACACCCTAAACAACTTCCACCCTCCTGCACCCAAAACCGAATCATACCGCTGAGTCAGCAATTGTCATAGTTTGATCAACAATTCACCAGAAAGAGACACAGTGACAACCCCGCTGAGTGTTACAGAGGGTCGATGAAATTGAGGAAATGACCCAAGGAGAGGTCACCTACGAGCGTGATAATGAGATCCGAAGAAAGGAGAGGAAGGAACATCTAAGTCCTTTCCGCTGGGATGATTCCAACGGAAAAGAAGGCAGATCATAACTCTTTGGGATACGGTATTAGAGAAGGTCGAGAGATGAAGTGATAGTTAGAGGTCTCATAAGTAAAGAACCTATACTCTGAAGGTTTGACCTGAAATATCTAAGAAGCCAGAATTCTGAAGGTTAGACCTGAAGGTTTGACATCTGCTTGGACTCGGACGAGTTCATCGAGTGGCTCCCATTCTGTGGACCTTTTCACATCTCACAAAACAGAATGGTGAAACTAGATGCTAGCAAGTTAAAGAAGAGTGGATTGTTTTGATGGTAAAATTTGATGGACCTACGTCAGCGTGGGGGAAAAGACAAGATCACTACTTGGTCTAAGATGAAACGTGAGATGCAATGTTTGTATCTATCAGCTCACTAAAGATTGGATGTTCAGACCCTTCTCCAAATGTGGAGAATCCACATAACCGGGAGACCATCACATCTTGCAGGCAATGTTCAACCCAGGATCTTACAACTAGAGTACACCAAGGAAAACATCCAAGTTTACGTTGCCTGATGGAAAATTGATTCATAGTGGAGAACTAGTGGAACCATCCACATTTCTAAATGTCTCAGTCAAAAAATGTGTTAAGTGACATAGGTTTGGGCATAATGAATCAGATTGCACAATTAGTAGAATGATGTCTTTCTCCGACTAAGGAGCGATTGAAGAAATAAACTGTGATCCAAGATAATAAGATTTCAGATAGGATTCTCAACCTTCAACTAACGAGGAAAAGACTTCATCAATTTCAGTTGAACACAGGAGATAAATTTCAGTTTAGTTAATGTTACAAGGCGCCTAGCCTAGAAACAAATTTGTCTTTTGTATGCCTAATGACAATTTAGTATTTTATTATTATTTTTTTTGGCTATAAATATGCTTGTTATGTTTAGGTTAGGTTTATGCATGAGATTGAGTTGTAAGTTTTTAGGTTTAGGTTTGGGAGAGACTTTCTACCTCTTGAATTGTAGGAATTGGGGGAGACCGTCTACATCTCGAATTGTAGGTGTTTATGTTTGTATTCTTGTTGAGTTGTTTGAATTTTTACAAAAAACTATGTGTTTGCTCTAATTTTTGTGGAAAAGTTGCCTATTTTGACGTCGGATTATATCAAATTGGAATCAGAGCACGATTTTGGGGAGGTCACGACGGAATCACAGTAGGTGTGTGAAATAGTTATTGTCGGCATGAGAAATAGAAGAAAAGCATCGATGGGATCCCTTTGTGATCGAACCACGCGATAATCGCTAGTTTGGTGATAAAAAAAATTCTAAAAACGATGACAACATAAACAATAGATGATTTAGAGAAAAATTTGAAGGAAGAGGTCGGCCAAATCAGATCGAGAATGAAAGAAAGGTTTGCCACTATAGATGATAGACTTTCTTCCATGGAGAACTGACTAGAAGATCGATTTGAGAGCAGGGGGAAATTTGAGAGATGTTGCAGAGGCTCATTGAGATGCAATTCAAGAACCCACCGACAACTCAATGTGCAAATTCTAACCAATGGGTGATTGGAAAATCCGTTGCAAGATCGAAAGGAAAAGAGATCGAAGGTGAGGAACATGAGGAGTAAAACATCCACCATCATGAACATTGTCTCAGAGCCTTGATTAGGGGTGGATTAGAGATTTTTAACGGAGGTGGTTGGGCTAGAACATGGAGAAGAGATTATGTAAGATATGTGGAGGAGCACGAAGAAGAAGAGAGAGAAGCAGGGAGAGGATATGACTACAAGCGAAGGAAGGAGTTTTATCCTCGATACATGGGGGGAAATAACGAAGGAAGAGGAAGTTGTGGTGGAGCTGTTAGAATTAGAAAGTTGAAGATTTCAATCTTCAAAAAGGAAGGCGCACATGAGTGTGTGTATCCTGCAGAGCAATACTTCGCGGTGAATGGGTTAGATGGGGAGGAGAAACTCATGACGGCAGGATTATGTTTGGACGGAAAAGTCTTAGCATGGTTTCAGTGGAGGGAGGCTAGATATTCGATTCGTTCGTGGGATGAATTTAAGAATTGTTTGTTGGAACGTTTCTAAGTCATTCGAGAAGAAGACCTACATGAGCAATTCTATGCCTTGACTTAGGAGGAGACGATCATGAAATATAGGGAGAGATTTGAATTATTGTTGAGACAACTGTGGGGGATTTCTGAAGCAGCTGGAGGGGAATTTTATGAAGGGCTTAAAGCCCGACATATGAGGTACACTTCGGCTACTAAGGCCACGGGGATTGAGGGAGATGATGAAGCTAGCCTAAATGGTGGAAGACAGAATCAGTTGAAGAAAACCAACGGGAGCAACACAGACGGAGCGTCGTACAAAACTGCTACAACCATGACAATGCCAAATATTCAGACATTGGAAGTTCATAGGAAGACTGCAAGGGATACGAATAATGGACCACGACCGAGAGCGTTAGTCAAGCGCCTTACAGAGATAGAGATTCGAGAGAAACAAGCCAATGGGTTATGTTTTCGGTGTGATGTGAAGTTTACTCCAGACACCATTGTAAGGATTGAAAATTACAAATTATCATAGTGCAGAATGAGGAAGCAGGGAATAAAGAAATAGAGACAACTGTGGAGGAGGAGAAATACTCATTTTTTTCCCATTTTGAGGACAAGGTGTCTTTTGGGGTGAGCAGTATTGTTACGAGGGCACCTAGCCTAAGAGAAAATTTATATTTTGTACGCCTAAGGACAATTTAGTCTTTTATTATTATTATTATTATTTTTTGTTGGGTATAAATATGTTTGTTATGTCTATGGTTAGGTTTATACATTAGATTGAGTTGTAAGTCTTTAGGTATAGGGTTTGGGAGAGATTTCCTACCTCGAATTGTAGGAATAGAGAGAGGCTACCTATCTTTCGAATTATAGGTATTTATCTTTGTATTTTTGTTGAGTTGTTTGAATTATTACAAAAAGTTATGTGTTTGCTCTAATTTTTGTAGAAATGTATGCCAATTTTGACGTCTAATTATGTGTTTGCTCTATTTTTGTTGAGTTATTTGAATTATTACAAAAAGTTATGTGTTTGCTTTATTTTTTGTAGAAATGTATGCCGATTTTGACGTCGAATCGTATCAGTTAACAATTGCGGTTCCTAAAGGTAGTGAACTAGAGGTAATGGGTGTTCATTTTATAGTATTTGGTTGTGGTGCCTCGGACTATCTTTTGGCAAACATTGAGAAGATCATCGACATGACTGACATTAGATGTCCACAAGGGTTATGAGTTTGAGAAGTCGATACAATGCATGGGGCAATCTCAGATGAGGGGATTTCAAAATTTTTAGATATTTAACCTGCGTTTTGTTTGCCCTTGCTGCGGGAGGACTAGCATGTCAAAGATGAGACTCTTTTATGCCACTTCTGAAAGACTATATAGAGTTAATTAGGTGTTAAATTTGCTCAATAGTGTGTCCTTCGACAGATGATTGGGCAGGAGGGATGAACTACAACTTTGAAATATTTTTTTTGGAGCAGGGTGGGGAAGAAAATTCTTTAAGGGGATCCAGGTCCTATCAGAGAAGAAGATGAAGCCTCTCTTGAGTGTTTGTTAGTGAGAGTTGTTTAGTTTATCATAGATTTAATCTCAAAGTTGATTCCTCCTCACATACTTGTTTATCAGATACATCTGGTCGAGTATAGAGAATGAAAGAGACAAATTACATATCTAATGGCTCGAGAGTCACTTTTATGAAAATCTTAGTCGATATATAGTTGTAGCTCAAGTTGTGCCAAAATAGGAGATATACTTATTCTATCAAGATGTGCATTGAAATGACAATGCCTACATGATTGATTTACCAAAAAATTACGATATTTCCTCCACCTTTAACGTGGTAGATTTGACTCCACACTACAAGGACACAAACTTCAGTGAATGAGATTGAAGTTCCCCTGACCCCAGAAGACTGATGCGAGAGTGATCTTGTAGCTTCCGACGCGGGGGTTTCGTGAACAAAGCCGCAACTCTGCTAGTGTTCGTGGACCGAACTGGTCCAAGTTGGGTCCCTGTTCAGGAGTCGACCGGTTCTCTTGGACTACTCATAATTATCCTATTATTATATATCTATTTTCGGAGGAGTTTTGGGTTAGTTTTTTGTGAGTTTTCTGTCAAGACAGTCGGCTCATATATTTTTTTAAATCTAATCAATCGAAAAAAAAAAAAGTTGGACCAACATTTTCTGGCGACCCCGTTGGGGAACTTCTAGAGCTATATCTGAAGGCGAGAAGGTGCTCCGGTTGTAACTTGTTCTGATATAGTTTTTATCTATCATTCCCTACTTCCCACTGCCCCTCCTTTGTTGTTATCGCCATCGTGGTTGCTGCCGCCACCCGGAAAACATTGTTTTCCTGCAACCGGCCTTAGCTTCCAACCGCCTCCACCTCCCTGCCAGCCCTTCCAACCGCCTCCAGCCTACTTGCTGATGCCCCCTTCCTACTTGTTGTCGGCCCCTTCCAACTGCCTCCAGCCTACGTGCTGATGCCCCCTTCCTACTTGGTGCCACCCCCTTCCAGCCACCTCCAACTTGTCGCCACCCTCTTCCAGCTACCTCCAACTCAGTGCTGCCCTTTCCAGCCACCTCCCTCTTACTACCGCAACCTTTCTGCTGGCTCCACTGGCTCAAAAGCCTCGTTGTCGTCCACCACCCAACCCGTTTTAGTTATTATTTCTGCATAAACTACAGAATCACCACCTTTGATTTCAACCCTAGTTGAGCTCGTGCTGAGTTTTGTTATTTCCTAGTTCAAAGTGTCTCTGATTATAACTTCTATTTGCTTTCAGTAATAATATTTGTTTTCCTATTGTAGTTTGGGTTTAACTCCGGTATCATATAGTTTGATTATATTCATTGGAATGGTCGACTATTTTTTCATGTCTTGAATGTACTGATATCCATTTTTCTTTTAAACCTAGAAACAATGGGCAAAATGAATGCAGGGAGTTTTAATAGTGAAGAACTAGAGATAATCAATTGATTTTTTATAATGATGCCCTAACAAGGGTGTTATATGTCATATGATTATGGATAAATTAACAGCATCCTCCCAATAATGAAACACATGCAGAAAATATAAAATGATAGACCTTTTATTAAAAAAAAAAACAAAAACTAAATATATCGCTGTACGAGGTGAGACTGCGTTCATACCCTGCTTTATTTTTCTGTCATTTTCTTTTTGGTTTGTTTTTTTTTTTTTTTTTTTTTGGTGGCTTTCTGCTAATCCGTTGTGAGTAGAGTTTGGGGTTCTTTCTTCTACACAAATCAAAGCCCCCTAATTCTATGACTTCGTATTCATGGACCTGTATTGTGTACCCTTAATGATACGGGTTTCTCCAAGATCAATGGATGACTCAACTGAACTGGAGCCAAAAATATGAGTGGGGTATCCCATTTGATAAAACGACTGATTGGGCATTCTAACATCAAGACTGCAACTCCCTAAGTAGATGACCTTTGAAATCGATGTAGAGAGTCTATGTATATGCTGATTTTATTTAAGAAGCCATCAAATCCTCTTTTATTGGTCTATATTTTTTTTCTATCCGTTGGATGAAAATATACGTAAAAGTTTCACTTTTCTTGGATTAAAACTGTGAAAAGTATTGTATTAATTTTCTACTGTTATTTAATCTGAGGAGATAATCTATAATAATGCTTTCTATTGTGTTTTGGCAATTTATGACCGTGACAATGTTGATATTATTTTATATTTGTTGAAGTTTAATAATTTCTTCTCACTCTAATGTATTGTCTAGTTTAGGTCAAGCCGGAAGTAATCAGCTGGTCGCCTCGGATAATTCTTTTTCATAATTTCTTAAGCACCGAGGTATAAAAACTATTTTTTGTTGTTTTCTTCTTTGAAAGGATACTGCTTTTAGCTGCCAGGGCTTTTGTATTGCATTGCCTCATTTTTTGAAATATTAAGTGATCTGTTTTTGTAGCATTTGTCCAGCTGTATGTGATCTCTATTTCTAGTCTTTTATTTGGTTTCACTTATTTGGGGGACCAGTTTGCATTGATTTGGTAGGAAGTTTTTACATATTTATATTTTTCTGAGCTTGGTCATTGCTATCACGGTTCTAAATTTACATGATTGAATTGGCTTCACATCAGAGTCTGCTTACTCTCCTAAAAGATCAATAAAATAGGATTATATGTATAAAACCATATAATTTTGTTTTTTCATTGAAAAGGATAGTAGTTGTAAAACATTGCAAACAAGGACACTAGTTTAACCTACTTTACAAACAAGAACCAGCAACTTGGGCAAATTTGTTAGGGTTTTTGAAACATTGGTGTTGCTACTGACTTTATTAGCCAACCCTCATATTACTACTATAGCATACACAATTTGTATACTAGGATGCCTATCGTGGAAGTTCAATGGAATTTGATTCTCTGATTCTTAATGTTCCTCACCTCCTTCCTATCCGTGAAGAAATAAATGATCACGATGCTCTACAAAATGATGACTTTATGGGAACAGTCTGGGTGATGATGTTTAGGTTAATAAGATATTTGAGATTCTACTCACTAGATGTGGATATAATCAAAAAAATATGTTGTTCAATTTTACTAGGATTTAAGCAAAGTAGTCCAAACGAGACCTTTTTTTATCTCAAATGCTGTTCTCCTGTACTGTTGGATGGTTTTGCTTCTTGATAGTAGTATTTAATCTTTTGTATTTTGTGTAATTGGAATTCTTGATAATTACCCTTGTTGTATGCATATTATTATTTTGTTATGAAGTTACGCTGCCAAAAGGGAATTCACACAGTTCCATAACCTAAATTTCAAGAAGCACTACATATATTCTTTAGTTCAAAAGCCTTGACATATATGGCATAGTTGGTTTCCGTTGTTCGCAAAATAGGACTTTTTTTTTCTTACCTTATGTGCAAAGTTTTAAAATTGTTGTCCTTTTCATGGAAAGATTAAATTATAGACTTTTTACAGTTTACATTTCTACAAAACAACAAATGTTCGTCCTTGTGGATCTTAGACTCTTGCACCACGTGACTTTTGGTACATACTAAAAGCATTTTTAGCATTTGTTTTTAATGACCATGCTCAACAATTGGCATATTTCTCCATGATGTTCACATCCAAAAAGTTCAAGATGGCCACTCTGCTATAGGGTTATTGTTTTTTTTATTTGATCATAAAATCAGGTGTGCCTAGCACTCAGCTTTCTCTTAGTTAATTGCAACAGCTTAAATTGATTCACAGCTAGTTCTTTAATAATGTTATATTATCATTGGTAACATGTATAGTAGAACAGAGTTCACAATGAGTTTAAATCGAATGAATCATGCTTAATTCAAGTACTTTTTTTTTTTTTTTTTGCAATTATCGAATATGATTTGAAATGATTGTTGGTGTTGCTTTGAAACACATTGATTTGAAATCTTTAGATATCAAAGGAACTTGAGAATGATTTTGAGTGGGTTAGAAGTTATAGCTTACGTGTTTTTAAAATAGACGGCCATATGGCCTGAATTTATCCTATGCTAGCCCAATTGCAGATTCATTCCCTATGAAATTATCTTATATTTGTATAAAAAAACATCATAAATTACAAAACCTGAAAAATTTTTTGAATAAAAAAAAATATTCTAATTTTGCACTAAACGTCGAACAAAATTGGTTGTTTTGGTATTCCAAGGAACTGGAGAAAATGAAATGAGGCCATTTTTTTTCT